TTGGTTCCTCGCAGACTTACATATTTGTCAAGAACAGGGCTAGGAATTTACTATTAAGAGATATATTTTATTTGTTAAATGGGCCACGTACATTGGTATAGCACAGTTATTTGTGTGCTGTATTATTCACCTAAAACAATTCCAATTCATCTTTGGATCTAATGAAAATGTACTGGGGATCTGATCTGTCATTTCTTTGTTTATTGTAAAACATATTTGAAACAGATATCCATGCAAAGAGTATGCTTACTGTTTGGGTTCTTCATGTTCACCTGTTTATAAGGGATTTTCATAAAAAGTAGAGCCATTCTAGACAGATTTATTTAGAGATTTATTTAGAAATTTAGATTTAGATTTATTTAAATCTAGACAGATCTACTTAAAGCCTTAACAATACTTTACAATTCCTTTCAGACCACCTTAATATCGTCTTTGTTCACCATTACTTTCTCCCAAGCCAGTGATTCAAAGAGAACAGAAAAATCCATCTTCTAAGATTTGCAGCTTCTCATTTTAATTTCTTTACATGCTTACTTCCATTTTGCATTAATAAATATTTGCTACCCAACTTGTTATTAGCATGATCATTTTAACTGTGCAACAATTAAAGCAAACACTACCTGCTAAATATTTACATTAAGCACTGACTTGCAACTGCATGAAATTGTTTTGCTCTTCACAGCTAGCTAGGATGTGGATCTACTCACAGATTATTTTTATTAAAACTGTTGTTTATCTTTCTATATTGTAACTTATTCACATTATTTTATTTTAGGATGTTTTTATATCTAAATCACCTACCTAACAAGTCCAAAAATTCTTTAATCACAACAGGAGTTCCTGTGAGACACGTAAATAGGAGTTATTTTCTGCACTGTTCTAAACACGGCAAAACTAGTATTTCCTAAACATCAGTTTAACAACATCCTCCTCTTCTGCAAATGTGTTCATAACTGAAGTCTGACAAATAACTCCTCTGTTCTCACAGAGGCCACAGTTGTGAAGGAAGCAGCCAATACTTGAAAACAGCAGAGTCCGGCTCCAAAACAATCTTCAAATATCAGGGGATGTACCTTGGACGAGAAGAAGTATTTGCAGTAAGGGGACTGCAAATATTAAGGTCATTAAGGTCACTATGATCTCAAAACAGGGTAGGAATCCACATTTTGGCTATCTGCTGCAGTAATTTGAAGATAAATCATTTCAGAAACAGTTTCTTGAGGAACCAAAAATCTGCCTCTGATTTAACTTTGCTGTGGATGTCCCTGATACAAAGTACACAGCTTTGCAACAGCTGGTCTGTAAGAATTCAGATAGGTGAACTAATCGAGAGGCTTGACCGGGGTGAGAATGCGACAGATGGCAGAGAGCACTTTTCGCTGGCAGCTTCAGGCTGTATGTGCAGAACCTGCTGCTGGAGCCCTTATCTGCTCAAAGCTGTTAGCTGAGACACTGAACACTCTCTGAAGCTAAACCTCCCCAAGTGTCCCTGTTCAACGCGGCTTTTCAGACTGTTAGTAATAATACACACCGCTATGTTTTCAGACATACGGTTTCCAAAAAGAAAACATTTCTCCCTAACTAGCGGAAACTACAAAAGGCATAAACTATGGCAAAGTATTACGAAGATGGCAAATTAAAAAGCAGTAATTATAGCCAGTAATTAAGCCTGTCATATGCAGCCAACTCAGACCGTAAGCATCAGCAGGCTCAGACAGTGCTGTTTCTGTAGAGTTCCAGCTCCCCGGCATCAGGAAGAGCCTCCGCAGATGCCGACAAACCGGGACATTCTCTTGTGATGGCTATTTAGCTTTAAGACACTTAAGGCATCAAAAAGACATTGTTTATCTACAAAATTATTTCCAGACATAAACAACAGAGAAGAAACTGGCAGTGTAACAGATATTAGCCCTCACATCCCTAAGGTAGCTCTTTTCATGAGGAGAGTCACCCTTCACTTCTCTGCTAGAAGAAAATCAAATTAAACACAGTCCACAATACAAAACCCAAATGCCTTAATATGCTCTCAAATAGATAAATACATTACAATCTATGTAAACAGGGGATCAACATTTCACACTTGCTTTTGAAAATACAATTTGTAATTCAAAGGTATTTTTAATCTTGCTCTATTGAAGAAAAAAGGAAAATGGGAAAAACTGTACTCTGGAGTTTCACACACCCATCAGTACCACAACTTTGAAGAAAGATCTTGTATGCGACAGGTAAAAAAAGCACCTGTGACAGGCTCACTACATAACCTTTTCACTTGTTCTCTGACAACAACATTTAAAAAGATAATACAATCTTATAATACACTGAGACATTTGATTCATGGTTTACTACTAAGTCTATATTAAAAAGTTCTAGCATTTTTAAAACAAGAATTTAGAATTTATCATCAATGATTTCCCCTGGTACTAGTGGTCAGCAATTTTTATCTATGAAATAAATGTATCATCTGCCTGTACCTTTGGGTAAAAGAAAAGGTTATACACTATGAATGTTTTCACATATATGATGTTAGAATAGAACAGTTCAGTTGGAAGGGATCAACAACAAGCATCTTGTCCAACCGCAACCTTGAAAGCAGCCTTAACATGGAACTGCGTCACCACCGAACCAGCAAAGCTTCATGGTTTGATTCGGCCAGTCCTACATGGCTTCCAGAAGTCCTCAACAGATTTAGACAAGTGTTCACTCAATGCAGCCTGTTCCTAAAACACAGCAGCTATGGACAACTTCCAACGCATCCTACCTGCAACTCCCAAATGTTGCTCAGACCTGGGAGGAAAGCAACTCTCAATTTGCATACTGGTTCAAATCACAGGAACCCACTGCAGTATCCAGCTTCCAATACTATTACACAAAGTAGCATACATTTTGAAATAAAAATCAACAAGTTGGTAACCATAGTCATGCTGCTGTTCCCTTGCAGAGCAATTCACAGTGCTTTTATCACCATAAATCTCCCGTAATATGTAAAGCCTGTAACAGAAATGTGACTAATTAAAAACACTTGTTATAATCAAAAGCATCTTTGTAATGGAAAACCAAAAGCTCACTCCAGCATCAAGATTCTTACTAAAAAACATATAATTAGGTACCCTGTTTTAGAATTGCACCCTGTATTTTGGAAACAATTGCCAAACTGGTATGTCACCATCTTCCCATCTGTTGAGTAACTGTATTTATTTTTCACTTATAACTATTTTTGTTTAGTTATTCATGAGGTTTCCAAAACTGACTTATACATCATTAACCCTTCACTATCATTCATCTACTTTAAACTAGAATAAGGTTATTTTGCAGCATACCTATTGACTCACTATGATTGTCAGAGTTTTACAGTCTGGATAATATACACAGTCTTTATTTCAGCATTGTTCAGTTAAAATCAGCATTGTTCAGTTAAAAGTAGCTATTTGAAAACACATAAAAATGTTCTACTGTCACAGGAGCAACGAAGCAACTTACAAGTATCTGACATGGGAAGGAATAAATACCGTATCTTTTGACAAGGCAGAATAAACACTCACTATACAAGTTGATGTAATAGAAGTAAGAGTCACACTACTTAAAATTACATCTTCATTTATAGTTTCCAGAACAAAATGTAAAATTTCTTTTCTTGATTTCATTTTAAAATTTAAAAAACCTAGGAAACAGCCAACTGGCAACTAAACACAGGAAAAAGGACTACATTTTCTTATTAGTATTTCAGCACAGCTTCTCCTATAATTTCTTCTGATCACTTCAATAATACAAAGTATATTCTCCACTCGTGCCTGTAGAATGAATTACGTTAAATTACATTTCATAAATTAAACAAGTTATTTGTATAGTCTTACAAACAGCCATTACAGTTTTGAACTGAACTATTCATGAGATTGATTAATACTTATAGCATGCAACTTCTACAATTTTGTTTCTACCTAAGCAATGCATGGATAAAACACATTAAAATAACATCTAAAATTCTAAAAAATAACTATAACTAACATCTGTTTCAGAAAGTGCTTGGCACTTACTTAGTATTGTGAAGCATTTCTGTTGTAGATAAGTATTTTTCTACAATTCCTATTATGCACCACTCAACTCAGATATTTTCTTTAATCATAATCCATTGGGTCCTTTCATACCCATTAAAGAAAGGCAATTTTTTGTCTAAAAGAATTCAAACAAACTTCTAAATTGCAGTTGTGATTCATCTGTCTTACGACATATAAAAAAGCAAGGAAATACCTACAATTAATGAATTTAGTACCAAAAAAATGTCAAATAATGTGCTGAGCATTGAGAATTTTATTATTGTTAAATCCTTAAATGTGCTCTTTTTGAAGTAAGGAATGGTCTTATGATTCAGCATTTTACTTTCATTTCACATCTTAATACTGAGAACAGCAGTGCAGTAACGCTTTTAGGAAAGCAAGAAATTTCTATTTTAACATCAGCAAAATTAATCAAATAAGGCTCCCACTTTGCATATGCTGCAAGAGGGGGACCATCATTTTTTTCAGGGACAAAGTAGCAATTTTGTGACATTCTCCTTCATATTTTTTGTAATTTTGTTTTCCACTATTCTTAAGTAAAGCATTTCAAAGTCACACACTGAGCTCTTGCTACAGGGTTGGGTTTTTTTCCCTGAAAAATGCATAAGCTGTGCATATTTAACAAAATTCTTGTATTCAGCAACTCATACAGACTCAAAGCAGCAATCAAGACCTACAACTTGTAGATTCTATCCCTGCATCATTTCAGTTTACCTTTTTATGTAACTCAATATACTGAATCCAAATCCCTTTTTTTCCCCTCTAAGGATGGATTTGTGGAGGAAAGGACTAACAAATTAATAGAACATTCTGCAGTGTAGCTTACACAGTTCTCACTTACTCTCTTCCTTTCATATTAAAAACATCACTACACTCCAGTCACATTTACACTTCTCCTTCTTAACACATAATATGCTTTACTTTTTCTCCTCTGTTTTGGGTAAATAAAGTGTCATAAATAGTAATAGAACAGTAAAAAAAGTACATACAACTGTGCTCTGCAAATAGCACTTTTCCTACAGACCAGTAAGCTTTGCATTAAACTGAATTTGCCTTCTTCAGAAAGATTGTATTTTAGACAAAGAAGTGCATCTAAAAAAGTAACAAATACAAATCAGCAACACAGTAAGGTACTGAAACAGTTTTCATTCTGCTGTAATAAAAAACACCACTCACAGAACAAACAGGAGATTTCACATACAATCTGATGGGATTTAAAGTCCTTTAAATGACATTTATTAACAGAATGACAACCAAATTTTAATTTCTTCCTACAACTTCAGAAGAGTACGTAGAGCTTCTCGTGAAGAACTGGTAACTTTCAGCACTTCCTCAAAGGCATGAGACATGGTAGGAATGTAGGTCAGAAGAATTTTTCAGTAACTTAAGAGCAAAAGGTAGACTGGATAGAGCAGTTATATAATTTACTATGTGATAGCTAAAAATTAGACAAAGACACTAGACCTTAAAGGAAGAAAATCAGAGCAGGTAAAGAATTTCAGAATAGGAATTCCAAGTCTGTCCTCACATCAGTACATAAGAGGTAAGAAAAAAAGCTTTCACATAAGACAACCTATGGCTGTAATCTATTGCTTAAAGTAGTTAAAAAGAATGGAGTAATGGGGTAGTGCAAGATGTGCAAGTTGTGCACAAACAGCAAATAAGAAACCAAGCTAAACGGAAAAATCACTGTTCCAGCAGCTTTTGAAAAGAATACTCTAAAAACTACTTTTCTCCCTTAAGCAAAATATGGTGAAAGGAGAACTGCTGGTCCCCAAGTATGACTTGTCTGTTTTCTAGAACAACTCAGCCTGCATGGAGCATACTGGATCTGTGGGGCTGGGAGTGTTCTTGGTCTGTGTACTTACACTGAAGAGTAACTGAGGCCAGTCCTTAAACAGGGGGTATGGGTAATATGCGATACTGGGTCACTGGTGTGCAGGTAGTACATACAAACAGTTAACATACCTCCTGTATGCAGCGAGCTGCTGGCTTGTCTTGATGATTGGCCAGTATTAAAAATGGCAAAGTACATAACTGTGGGTGCTGGAGAGCAGAATGCAGTTCATTCCTAGCCGTTTCTAGATCATCTTCAGAGGAGGCACTGTCTAATACAAATATTACTCCTTGGGATCCTTGGTAGTAACGACTCCAGTATTTTCTGATATTGTCAGCTCCTTTCAAGACAATAAGAAGAACTAATTAAAACAAGAATAATTAAACAGACTTAATACTTCTATCTGAAAATAACCTTTCTACTTAGAACAATCAAAGCAATGGACTAAATTTTCTCTCCTGAATGATCACCATTGAAAGAATAAAAAGGAAAACTGCAATCATAAATCCAACACACACACACACACACAAACATCAAATTAACATTGTTTAAGTAAGGAGGGAATTTGACTGAATGTTGTTTCCACCTCTGAATGTTTCTGTTCCATTAATGAGTACTGGCAGAACTGCCATGCTTCCAGTGGCACCTAGCCTAACCCTGTACTTTCTCACTGAAATGTCTTGGTACCAATATCTCAATCTTTGCCCATTCTTTTTTACTTAGCCCTGCAGCTCCTTGCCATAATCTATAGCTTCTGTCATAGCAGTTGCTTATTTCTGAGCATAATAAGGTCTTTCAGTTCCTCTCCAAATCATCAGGCAAACACTTCATAACTGAGGGAAAAAGGTGTCAAAAAAGCCTGTTAAAGTACTAAGACACTTAATGAGGAGAATGGTGACACAATACCGAGTTCAACAGTGAACAAGGGAGCTAAGGTGACCTGCAAAGGCATTAATTTCAACTATTTTTGCTCTGTCAACCACACTAAGAATTCTGGAAGAGCCTAACAGTAGACATATGAATGACTGTTCAGGCTTACGTGCCACAGTAATTTTTAGGACACAGTTGAGCACTGCTCAGCCATCTCAGCAGAAGCCAAGCAATAAGGTTATCTTCAGAAAGCTTTTGTCTCCCCTGGAGAGCACCATATGCTGGAACACTGAGGTAGGAAAAAGAATTATTTGACAGCTGTCAAACTATCTAAACTATGACTTGGATGTGGGCTATTCTTTGAGTGTTTGATCAGGCACTATGCTCATGGGGACTAACACTGAAAAGTGAACAGCGGCAGCAATACTCCAGTAGAAAACTTGACATGTCTGCAAGATAGGGATTTTGCAGGAACGAGCTGCAGGTATCCTTTATAGACATTTTTCTTACTTTGAGACAGGGAGAAGAAAACTTTAATGTAGACAAATATACCAAATGCTGATAATAATAAAACTAATTTTTTTAGTGAGAACTACACAAACATTCTGAGCAACATGATGGCACAAAATGAGAATTTAATGCAACATAATTACTATAACATTTATATGATACTTTATAATTTAATTTACATATTGTGCAATAGAAAAGACAGTCACTAAACAAAGGTCAAGAAAACAGATCTATAAAGGAATATACACCATATACTTCAGGTATCCAACTCAAGAGTAGCCAAATCTCATCTTCCCTGTACTGTATGTACTGACCACACTGGAACCTTAAGCACTCCATTTCTGTATTCTGCACAACTTAGGTGGCTAATGAACATTGTGAACACACACCTTTTCCTACAGAGAATACTGAAGTCATATTGAATAGTTGGGGTTTTTTTCTGCAAGAGATTTAATGAGTTGATTACTTGAAGATCATGGGATTTAGTCAAGACCTTTCTTATTTTTTCTATTAATTTAACTAAACTCAAAGTAACAATGCACAAATAGGACAGATGCTTGATTTATTTTATCATCAACTTCTGAAGATCAACATTAGTTATACAGAAAGCTACTTCTATGTTTCTGTACCCCTGAACAGCTATCAGTTGTACCTGCAAGAATTTCATAGTGTCTGTTAGATGTTCAAGTCCTTCCAAAAAGCTGTCTATGACAGAACCAAGAAGAGCAAGTTGCCAGAGGGACACTATTTACACAGCCACGTGCAGCAGTGCCGCAGGCATCTGAAGTATCACATTACTTTAAAAACTGGTAGAGAATCATTTTCAATGAACCAAAAGGCCAATACCATGATAAGTTCTTTGAAGGTCTTTTTTTTTTCTTTTCCTAGCAACATAACATCTGTCCTATTTACTCTAAGCTTCAGCCAGCTACTTTTCAATCAAATCACTGCCAGATCCTGAGTCTTATCTTGTAACTGGACTATTTCTAAAGAGAAAAACTGTGTGGTGAACTGTGGAGCATTTGACCTCATGTGTCCAGGCACATGGAAGAAAGCAGCTCGTGGACCCTACGTGGGACACTGGAGACAGAAAAGCAGTATGCTGATTCGCTGACCTTACGGCCCTGCCTTTTAGGTTCGGGTTCTTTAGCTGCTCAACTTCGTTTCTCCACATCAACTGTCCCAAAAGAAACAATACCAAAGCGTAGCCCTTTTGTCTCCAGCCCTGGCCAGTCACCATGCCATAGTTATAAGAACCAAACCCTAATGTCCAACAAAATTTGGTATTTCCTTCAGGATGTTCCATCAGAACAATGACCTGCTCTGAACTTGCTTGTACTTCAACTCTGAGGAAATCACAGCCTGCATTTAAGAATAAAAGAATGTGCACTAAGTAGACAAGAAAAAAGACTGAGAAAATCTGTATCATGGTGTGCTGTTTTAACTCTTTTTTCTGCACTTGGAAAATAATTCTTGGCATCAAAAAACTATCAGTAACTGGAAATAACAATTTCTACAAACCAAACAAGCTTTCATTCTTTTGGCTTAACTCTTCATATCCAGGGACCACAACCTGCTCTCAGCTTCTCTCCCCCGATTATTAGGTATCATGTGGTGGTGCCATCCTGGGCAGGACACGCTGGCCTCTGAATACTGATCTACTCATTGCACTTCATGGTACGACAAATTCAGTCTTATAGAGCAAACAGGTTTTTTTAAAGGGGCAGGTTAGTACAAACTATCCTATCTTTTCATCTATTCCAAAGGTTTCTAAAACAGGGAAATTCATAGTCTGAGTTTTTCAGCAACTCAGAATGTAATGTGCATCTCCTAACCATCCTCAGGCTCTCAGAGACAGCGGAAATTAAACCAGAAATTAACTGGTAGACAAAACGTCCTGTCAAACAACAGTAACACATGAGATAAGCATTTACATTTGCCAGTCTAATATCATAAGCCTCTCTACAGCTTTTCTGGCATGTGATTGCTTCTTCAATCACTTCATGCCTAAACTAAGATTTAGGGAAAAAAAAGAAAAAGGAAAAAGGAAAAAAAAGG